CGAGGCAACATAAAAGAGAAAAAAAATAAAAGAAAAAATTGCATTGTTGACATTTTGTGTTTACAGAATGAACTAATTTACAGCTCTTGTTCTGGAATAGCTTTAGTAAATTTGAAAATTTCGAGGATGTCAAATATTCCAGATTTGTCATCAATCAGGGCACGATTAAGTCGGCGGTTTAGGTTTAAGAGTAACAGCATGTCTTTAGAAATATATTTGTTTTGTTACGGATTTTTTTCTTTATCTCTGAGGCTTCCGTAGCGTAGGTAAGAAAAAAAATCAAAATTATGGTAATGAAAGTGGATTATATGTTGGATTACTATTGCTGTCCCACAAGGTAATCTTTATAAAAAAATACCGGGGAGGGCTTTAATTGGGAAATACGCTGTATACTTTTGCTGACACACAACGTTTTGGGCAATCCTCTTCTTCGGGTATCTGTAGCTGAACAGAAAATTTACCTGAAAAAGGGCATTGCCCAAAACGTTGTATCAGAAAAAGTATATATAACATATACATATCATATAAGTAGTTAACACCTTGTTGTCTTCGGTGGTTTAACTTACAACGTGCTTCTTGTTTTCCTCTTTCAACAACCAGCAAGCGTAATTCTATGCAAAGTTTTGTAGCATAATCCTCTGAATATACAGACAGTTTAAACAAAAGCAGGATGTTCTAAACTAAAACGATCCTAATGAGTGTACTGTAGCTTTTTGAACTGTCTGAATGAAAACTGGGAAGTCTAAAGTCGATTTGAACACGCTCAGCCCTTTCAGCTACAGGCGAGTTATAGAAGTGAGAACCAATACCGTTATGCGGATCAAAGAACCGGACAAAGCCTTCGTAGAGGCGGATGCTGCTGGGAGGCTGCTTTCCCTATGGTCAGTAGTTCAAAATGAGGGACGGCTATACCTGAATCCTAGGGGGGATCTCTAAGCTAACACTTTAGCTCACGTTCATATAAGGTGTGGTTCAGGTTGAAAATTCCCGTTCCATGAGATGCGAAAATATTTAGCTCGTGTCATTAGATGAAAAAAATAAATGTAAACGATATTCTTGTAATTAAGCTGGTGCAATATCAATAAACCACCGTAGCTTCATAAAGTTTCTTCTTCTTCCCACCTTAGCTAAGAATTCTGGGCTCGATCCCCGCGATGGGCACGTCACAGTTACTCCATTGTGTAGCATGTGCTGAACAATAAAACACGTGGAATCCTATTTTCCTTCTTATTTTTGTGTCCCGAAACAAAGCTGTAAACATATTTTTTCTCTTCTTCAAACAGCAAGTAAAAACTGGTATTTTCGGAAAGCTTCGTCAGCACGGATCTAGCAGAAAGTGTGTTTGACTTCTCTACTTTTAGTCATAAGTTTTTATGAATACGTCTAAGCATTTGGCAAAATTTACTTATCAGCTTATATCTATAGCAGGAGCGTCATTTCACAAAAGGCTTTGGGGCAAATGAGGGTGACCTCTTGAGAGCCCCCAACTCAGCTAGGGGGTCCTACGCTATGACTTAATTTGTGTATGTGTGTGTGTTAATCTGGCCTGATTAGAAATGTTTCACAGAATCTGTCATTTGGAGTCCATTGCAGAGTTTGGGAAGACTACCCCCCCCCTCGCAAATGACGTGCATTTTGCTATTTTGATTAGGAGATTTCTGATAATTCTAGCGAAAAAACTAAAACCTTTACTTCGTAATTATTCTAAAGGAAAACGAAATGTGTAGACTTTGGTTTTCAAATAGATTGAAATTATGTTACAATGTCTCTCTACAAAAACAGCAACAACAACACATACACGGTTTTACGTAATGTAACAAATTCCACAATCTAAGATGTTCGTGTGCTAGGCCAAAAATTATACAGGCTCATTCTCGATTGTGTTTTGAGTTATATTTAATTCATAATGAAGTCGAAGTAAACAATAATTTTCAAAGGGGACGTTCTTTGTAAAGAAAAAAAAAGGCACAACATTAGTTACCACAAACGAAATTTTAAGGCTTATTGTTTTTACAAAAACAAGGTATCAACTATTGAAACTTTAGGCTTAGCGTTTTTACTAAAAGAAGTATCAAATATTGAAACTTTAGGCTTAGTGTTTTTACTGTAAAAAAAGGTATCAACTATTGAAACTTTAAGCTAAAGAACTGAAA